CCATTGAATCCTGCATGGTAGAGGGGTGTGCTTGCTTCACTTGTATCTTTAGTTGTGGACTGTCCAAGGCATCTACAAACTGCTCCCTCAGCAACAGTATGAGGAGATCGGGTGGTGCAGTTAGGTAGGCCTTGTGTGCCATACTTTCCAAATCCTGTGCCAGCTCTTGCAGGCTCTCCCCTTTAGCACGGACTCTAGTTCTAAACCTAGTCCTGTAGACTTTGGACTGATTTTGGGTTCCATACCTGAGTTCTAGAGCAGCTACCAGTGCTCTATAGTTGCGCCTGTCGTCTGCTGACAACTGTCCAAGTATTTCCAGTGGTTGTCTTTTCAGGCTTGTTGCCAGGTACACTGCTTTCTGCTCCTCTCTCCGTCCAATCATTTCTGTCAGTAGCTCAAATTGTGCTCTATATGCTTTCCATGGTGCCTTTCCATCGAATTCCTGTGGCTTCCTTCATACTAGATCACCCCTATTGCTGACACTTTGTCTGGAATGTGACTTCTGGCAGGACTGAAGATGTCTGCATTAAGGTTTAGCTGCGGGGTCTGGAGGGGCCTTCCCATTATCTGAGGCTGATTAGGTCTATGGCCAGTACATTCTCCTTGTGTAAAAGACAGTAAATCACCCTTTAATGTATTGAATTCACTTTGAAATTTACTAATCTTTTTCATTTGTGTGTGTGCTGTCTTTCTCTCAATTGTTGGAGACTTTCTTCTTGTTTATTTTCTTTCTCCTCCAACCACTGCTGTAGTCTCTTTTTGTTTCTTTTCTTTTTCTTCCAACAACTGCTGTGATCTCTCTTCTTGTTTCTTTTACCGTTCTTCCTGTTTATTTTCTCTTTTTTCTTGTTTCTTTTGCTGTTCTTGTATTGCTTTAAAAAAGAAAATGATCCTTCATGGGTTTGGATCTGATAAAAGCATCATTTCACATTCCATGGATGCTACCTGTTACTCAGCCATGTTGATACTCCAATACTAACTTAACCAAGTTGGTTTTTGGAGAGATTCTTACATCATCCAGATCTGGAACTACAACTTTAGATTTATTTATGGTTCTGTATATCTCGTCCAAGCTAAAGTTAAAGTATCTGTATACAAATGTTTACCTTGTTCTTCATTTGCAAGGAGTGGGGTACCAGCATTCTTGTAAATGACTGACATTACCGTGTTTTGGGTTCTTGTGTTTGTCGCAAGAATGAAATGCTTATGAGGTTGGCTTTCCTAGACAGTTCATTTCATGTATCATTCTTTTGGAGCTGATCGTCTGTAAAGAGCACATGTTCTAATCTGTGCAGACTTTGACTCCTCTGACCCTGGATCATACCTTATTTGCATGTACTCAGCTTGGGGCTTGATTACCTGCTTTATCGGTGTCATTATCCCACCAATATAGGATGCTCCTTTAACAGAAGTTAAGAAGTGCTTGAGGGTAGGAGTGTTGCCAGAAAGCTAGGCATAATTACATGAAATTTCCGATTGATTTATATCACTATGTCTTCCAGATTCCATACACACCTCACTCAAGGTGGTCACTGTTCATAATATGTGCCTTATGCCTTTGATTAACCAAAAAAAAGGGTCTTTATTACACAACGATTCTTGCTGGTTCTCCAGAATAACAGTACAAGCTTGGTGACTATACAGTGGAGAGCAAAATGCAAAAATCTCAAGGTCTAAGAGTTGAGTAATAAAATTCATAGAGCTTCACAATTATTTTATTCCCCCAAACACCACAACATTGCAGTAACCTATCATAACGTGAGACTAGTGTATTCTGGTGTAAGTTTTAAGCATGTATTGTCAACTAGAACTAGTGTTTAGGCTTCAGTTTCTCTGTTCGTCTCCTGCTGGGCAATCGGATACCTAATTATGAACACTAGACCAGCACTAAAGGCAACTCTCGAGGAAGCTGTAAGGCGAAATGTTGAGCACCAAAAATTGTGTTCTATAGGTTAAGTATTTGTTATAGACATTAGCAGAGAGGTCGCAGGGAACTGGCACACGGGGCCCGTGCCCTGATTCTATTTGACATTGCTCCTAATTCTCAGTTGGTGCCTTGAAAAATCAAAATAGAAATCCATGATTGATATCATACTGAAACGCTAAAATTCCCGCGCCTATGGGACCAGCCCCGAATCTTTTAAGCACCTAGCGATGCCTCTAGGCATTATTCATTAACAATATTTAATTCAGCTCTTAGAAACTATAGATCAATAATGTACATAGTTTATACTTCTTTGCTAAATATGAATGATAGTGCAAATTTCATATACAAGTAATCTCTCACTTCCGCCTCTCCCCCAGTGGCTCAACGGGAAAATCCACAGACGTACTAAACTTCGGATTTCGATACCCGTGGTGAGCAGAGCACGCATAACCAATTGTGTAGCTTAGCGCTAAATAACAACCAAACCCAAACCACATTTCTGCTATTCCTGTATTTCCAAATGTAATATATTTTCTTTTAGTTTCTATACTTTGCTGTAATATTGCAAAAAAAAAAAAACAAACAAAAACTTGTCAGTAGTAGATCTATAGAAATGTGCATTTCTCGTTTCATGTCATTGTAGAAATTCAGGATAAAATGGGATTTTATGGAAATTTAGAAAAGGTTGGATTCGAACCTTCAACCCTGACAATCGGGAAGAAGTTGTATGTTACCTTCCTGTTAGTGATGTAAAGAGTATCTTAAATTTATGTCACACCACCAATCCACTAGTTTTCAATTATTCCTATTTGGATAATCCCAACTATCCAGTAATCGAAACTACGATTAAACCGATTAATATTACGAAAATAATAAACTCATCTGAATTAGTTTTCCAACTATCCAGTAAGCGATATATTGCCCGTATAATTCAGATTTTTTCGACTTTATTGACTAGTGTCATGGCTCACGAAAATAATCGAAATTAAGATTTGTGATTATTACTATTTTCACTTATTCCAACTATTACCATTCTGTTTGTTGTTAAGCGCAAAGATTCACAATGGGCTGTCTGTGCTCTGCCAACTGAGAGTATCGAAACCCAGTTATTAGCGTATAATGTTTTTTTTTGTCATCTAGTGAGAATAATCGATTAGTTGAATGTTATCAATGAATAAGTTCCGATGATCAATTGATTAGCCATTTTTACTAATCGTCTAGTTCTATTACTGAGGAAGGCCTTTTATGCTAACTGGTTTGTAAAACTCAGAAACTGTTTATTGTTATCTATAAATTTTAAAGGCGGCCACCAAATCTCGAATATCACAACCTCTTTTCTTCTTTTTATCGATTATTAATGAGAGCTGTTCAGATAACCTACAGTTTTATGTTTCACCACTTTAGTAATACACTTCGATGAAGAGTTGGATGTAAAATGTTGTGGCAGTAGTAAACTAGTTAATCTTAATTTCTGGTATTGAGTAAAGTGTCTCACATGTATAGTGGCGAAAAACAAACAAACAAAATTAGCTGCAGCACAATTCACGTCACGTTCTTCAGAATTAGCAGCGTTCCATTACGCTTTCTGATTTAAGAGAATGAACTTACTTTCTTGTGCAAAGACTAGGATATTTTAAGAAATCTGATCATGTGAACCAGCTAAGCTGCTTTGCTACACATCTGGTCACGTGAGACAGCTAAGCTGCTCTGTTACACATCTGATCACGTGAGCCAGCTAAGCTGCTCTATTACACATCTGATCACGTGCACGCCTTATCGATAAACTGTTACTTTTATAGTCTTATGCAGTTCTTGTCAATAAATCAACTGTTACATCTACAGTAGTATGCAGGTGTTATCCATAAACCAACTGTTCCACGTATGCAGGTTTTGGGTGTCATTTGTTTGCATTATCTAAAAACGAAACTGAAGCCTATCTGTCCTTGATTAAAATCAATGTTAAATTGAAATATGTAGGTTATAATTCACTCTTAAATAAACAAAGTGATGAAGTATCTTATATTATTTTTATATGGATTTTTTTTAAAGGTAAATGTTGAATAGCATATAAGAAGCCACTTTACTAATAAGTAAAACCTTCCCCTTTAACACGATGTTAACGTTGATGGAGATTATATTAGAAGACAATTTTGTGTAAGTGCTTTATAATGAGTTGCATTTCCTGCTTTAGTGACTGTGGAGAATGAAACAATCTTCCGTGTACTTTGTTGTTTTTTTAAATTAAAGATGTTCAGTCATCTTCAAAAACTTCTTCAATCAATCGATACTTTTTGTAAATCAGACAAGTTTATTTATAACTTACCAATACTGGCTTCAAAGGAAGCTTTAACTAATTCCAACTCGACTCTTCCTAACTACACTAGTTATAAACAGGGATTGGAATGAAAAATACAGCTACAATGTACACAAATTACTGGCCACAGTTACTACGACTTGAACTCAAAAGAAATAAAATATTCTATCAGATAGTAAGTGTACGTTATTTAAAAAAACTTGTGCAATAAATTTTAAAACAATAACATGCACCACATTTTCAAAGATCAAATACACAGCGACATCTATTAACTCAATTTGTTTAAAAACTACAGAAAACAACTTTGACACTTAAAAGAAATCAATAATTGTTATCTTGGATAAACTCATGCTAAACACTGCTGCTTGAAAACAAAATTTGAAACATGAAGAAAACTAAAACTGTTCACTTTGTGCATCATACAAATTTTTTTTTTACATTTTTACATATTTTTACATTTTTTTTGTACATCTTGCACAGCATATTTTTTGTACATTTATACAAGGTTAAGTTATAAAAGTGATAAAAGTCTATTCTGTGCAATACAGATTTCAACTATCCAATGCATACATAAATTAATACTATTCTAAAATATTACAATAAACAATAAAAACAGCACAAAAGACTTTTAAGTTTGTTGCTATAGATTCTGACATCTGGCCACTCATTACATATAAAACTATTTACTCTAATATCATCTTTCTAACTAATTCAACAAATGATTTTGATGTGTAAGATCCTTTTGCAGCAATTCAAAGAACACATCATTATACATTGAACAAGTAATGCTAAGTCAAAATATTTCTTATTTGATTATTTACCTTTCAGACAGTTAAAAAAAAATACAAGTATAACATTTCTAGATCAAACATAATATCCCAAGTTCCTTTGTGGTATACCTAAACTCTCCAAGGATTCCCCCAGGTTTAACAATTTTGAAAACAGAATGAGCCTTCTCTTGGCCCACTGGTAATCTCAGTACTATAGTTAATTCAGTTACTACTACTACTACTGAGTGTAAATAACCCTGAAAATGGTGAATCACCCAAACATCTGGTGTTAGATATCCCAAAACATCCAGATGGCATAGTCCATCTCAACAAGTTTTGTACCTTAAATGTTAAATTATATTAAAATTTCTAAACTCCAGATGAAAGCTATACATTTTTAAATTTCTTTATGTTTCAACAAAACAATATAAATACAACTAGTGAAAACACAGCTATATCAAGACACATTTTGCTTCATTATCTTTCATGATTAAATAATTGTTTAGTAATGCTTTAATCACAGCATTCTTAATATAAAATATATACGAAAAATTCTTTTACCCCTTTCCAGCCCAGTATATATCTTGCTTTTCATGGGGACACATGACAATTTAAAATTTTCCAAAAAATTGTTTGATATTCCCCTTCCAATCATCAACAAAACTTTCACTGAAATGTTCTGAATTAATTTTTTGGAAATAAATCTTATTAAAATTTAAATTGGATGAAGTACAAAAACTCCAAACTGCTAATTCTAATTTGGATTTTCACCCTCCAATTGTAATTTTTGCTTGGAGAGTAAAAATATTTCAACTTCCCTCCTGTTTAAGGAAAATTATCAACATACAAAACAAAGCTGCTATGGTCTTTGTTGATTATTTCTTACTGAAATAGTTTGAAAGCAGGAATTTATGAAAAATATAGGTATAAACTGTTGAACTTGTCCAACTACATTTTTTGTTTACAATTTCCAAACTTCTAAAACTAATAAAATCATACACATATTGTCTGAAAGCTAGGGCTACTTTTCTTTCTCACAGTCTATGTCATAGAGCTCCTTTCCTTTGTCATTGTTGTAAATTCTTTAACTTTCAGTTAGTCTTCCAGAGGACTTGCCTGACTGCATGCCTTTAACTAATGTAACTGTATCATATTTTTGTAATTATACTAGTTTCCCTGCTTGTTTATCTTACTGAAGCAATTAATTTACAAAACTTTTACTGGTAATTAAATGGGTATATACGGTGTAATTTTTGTAAATAAATACAGTAAAATATATACTATTTATATGCAAAAAGTGCATGACATCATTAGGTTTGTGATTGTATTGGTTGCTATTCAAAAAATGGATAAGTTTGTTAGAATGAAATAGATAAAAAGTAAATAACATAGCTGTGCAAGAATACCAAAATTAGCTAATCACTGAATGCAAACTTTTGATAATACTAATAGTTATTAGTACAGGAGATAAATCTTGAGTCACAAATATGTGCAGTTTGTAGGCATAATACACAGCTAAGTCATGTAGGATTTTATTTCATTATAAATCATAAATTCTCCACCCACCCACATCAGCAGTTAACATGCTTCATGTTTGAAATATCTGTGTTTCAGATTTGGTGCCTTTTAGAAGCTATGATTTTTATGAATGCAAATACAGAAAATGCAATATATTGCTACTGGGCTGAAAAGTAGTAATTTAATCATCAACTCTAAGTGCTAATTTGGAGGTTAAAATGATAAAACTTTCAGTATTAGTTTTAAATCAGTCATAGGTAGTCAGAAGGTATGTGGATAATTAATTCTTGTACAGAATGAAAACACAGCATTTAAAGCAAATTTTTTCCAACACCTTTGCAACATCGTTTTATAGAAATAAAAGTTATCTACGGGCAGAATATTTTTTCAGATAACTGAGATGTGTTTGAGAACCATCACAATTGTTAAAAAATACAGCTATGGATCTAAAGAATTAGTGTTTCTACTATTTTACCTACAGCCAATTATAGCATCCTTCTATAGAATTACAACCAGTTATGTGAAGGTAAATTTCAGCATTACTTTGTGGAATGAAGAGTTTACTGTTCTCTAGCTGCACCCATAAAAAACATTCCCTCATCTCCATAGAGACGTTTGATGCTGTCATAGATTTCTTCCACATCAGCCTGCTCCATCTAGGGAAGACAAAGTGTTTTTACTTGATAGTACCACTAAAAATGGATAATTCTGAAACTACAGCAAAAATAAGAAGCATTAAATGTAGACAAAAACTATACAGAAGTTATCATTTTCCTGTACTGAAAATATATTTTCAGTAGATGCTTATCTCTTCTCACATGTATAGTTATTCTCATTCAGTATATATGCAAAAAGCATTTAACTCCCACGTAGTCCATGATCAATGTAGTTCAACTGCATCTCACATGTAAATCATCATGCGACAACCATCCAGCAATAAGGCTTAGTTTGGCTTGAATTTCATGCAAAGCTACACGAGGGCTATCTGCACTAGCAGTCTCTAATTTAGCAGAGAAAGACTAGAGGGAAAGCAGCTAGTTATCACCGCCCCCTTCCAACTCTTAGGCTACTCTTTTACCAACAAATAGTGAGATTGACCGTTACAGTATAATGCTCCCACGGCTGAAAGGGCAAACATGTTTGGTGGGATGTGGATTCGAACCCATGAATTGCGAGTCAAGCACCCTAACCGCCTAGCCATGCCAGGCCTCCATCAATACGAGTGCAACACACCCTCCTGATGATTGGACTCCCTCTATTCAATTCTACCAAACTATCATTTTGAGATTAGGCAGAAAAAAAAAGCACAGGTTTTCACTTTTTCTGATAGATATTTACCTCCTCTCACATAATGGCTTATCTTGATTAATGCTGCCCTCTATATGCTCAATTTTGTTTGCTTGCCAATACTTCTGCATACCCCATATGTTTAATATAGTACAGCAATGCTGTAGCATGCAAAAGCATACAACAAACCTCCACCAATAGGAGTGAGACACACACCCTCCTGGTGTAGCTGTAGCTCTCTGGATTACAGTTTAACCTCACTTTGAGATTAGGAACCAAGTACAAAACACTAGAAGTGACGAGGAAGTGTGAGCAGAAGTAAGTACCTATCAGAAATATATTTTCAGTATAGGAAAATAATAACTACTGATATGGTACATTACCATTTCTCACATGTATAGCTAGAATACCACACTGAATAGGCAGAGGGAGCAGTGCTAGGGATTGAAATAAGTATCCCTGAAAAACGTCCAAAGAACACCCATGAAGTGTGATCCCATTGGGAGAGGAACACAGGTGAGAGACTGCACCACTTCTGTACCAGATACATCTATGCCAATTGTGTAAATATGTGTCACATACATTAGCAGAAAGTGGGATAAGCACAACCCAATAGGGAGAGAAAAAACCAGGTGGGGATAGGAATGTGGGGAAAGCTAAAATGTATGTGCTCCACAGTGTATAGTGGCTAGAGTGCATTGGACCATATGTAGTCGGTCAACTTCAGTCCAAAACCAAGCGGCATCGGGATTACTATATCCAACCTGTAATAGGAGGAGAGTCCACACCATCTTCACCGCAAGTTGAGTAGAACAGAATTATATGTCAAACCGATATATTATACAGGACACGTTTGCAAATCCACAACCATACATACATTTGAGAAACTGACATCTGAATGATGATATGAAAGGATGTTTCAATGTGGCAGTTCACATCAAACCAAATCCAATCCAACTGGAAACTCTCAGCACAACAGCAGCCTCAGGCAGAGGAAAAACTTCTGAGGTGGAGAACTAGAGGGAGAACCTTTGCCCCAAACAACATAATCCCCTGCATAGGACCATACAAAATTTGGAACAAACGTGTGTGCAACATCAACCTCCGGGACCCACTACACAAAGGTGGAGAATATGAGGCAAAACCACGAAACTGGAGTGAGGATGAGGAATCACAAATAACACGTGTGAGGATTTATGTTGATTGGTCCAGTTCTAATCCAAAACCACTCACTGGGAATCAACATCCAGGTGATCCTAGGATGATGGAGTCCCAATCGAAGGATGAACTGCAATGTAACGGTTCTATTTCAAAGCAACATCATCCTCCACGTCCTACTACACAGAAGTGGATCACTTCTGTAAAATATATACACAGAAGCTGGGTGCAACATCAACCTCTGAGACCTACCACACGAATGCAGAGCATGACTGGAGAATTGCATGCCATCTACACCCGCAGGACACCACTGCCCTAATCTATACTGAATGGAAGACATCACATTCAGAAGGATACCTCCATGGTCCACCACCCCAGCAGCTTGGAACTGAAAAGTGGCAAGGACTTCCATACCCTGCTAGAAGAACAAAAGGAGTTAAAATGCAGTGGAGTCCAGAAGATTGCCAACACTGGAGACAGTGCAATGGATAACTATGAAAACCCTATATTGAAAAGCAGACTGCTCTTGGTATATTCAATTGAAGGGATAGCAGGGATGGGGGACTATCCCCTTCTGCTTTACTCATATAAGTCCATGGGTTAGTATGGTCTGAAAAAGGCATATTAATGAAGCAAATATATCCCAGTAAAACCTACTAGTGATCTTATGGAATACCCCATCTCAACAGTGTATGTTATTGGTCACGGGTATATTGTTTTTTTATTATTTCATCTGGGCCATAAGTGCAGATTTGAGACTTAGAAAGTATACCTGATTAGGCAATGCTCGCCACTGAGCTGGATCTGAATTGTAAATGGTACATACCTCTTGAGGGCAAAATATATATAGCAAACATAACTCACCTAGTCACAGCCTCGCTGAAATTTGAAGGATGGCAAGAGGTCAAAAGAAGAACCCCGACTAGGAAGAAACGACTACCCATTGAAGATAGTGGGAGATGACATATGAGAAGTAGGCCATATGCTTGACTGAAGTTTCCTCCAATGGATGACAGAGGTGAGACTCCATAAAAAGCTACGGTGGCTGATCTGAAAGGAAGACACCTGGAACAGAGTTCGGGAAGAAAAAAGACATGGAGGAATAGACCAAACGAACCAGATAACAATCCCAGATTGTAAGGGTAGAAGAAAAAAGATCACATATAGATGAATGGTGTATGGAAAAGTGGAAATAGGAACCACTAAATAAGGTCATGCAGGCAATGGAACAACAAAGAGCAAACACTGTATATAAAAGTCTATCTGCAGCAGACCAGGAATAAAGGTGAGAAATGGACAGAAGAGAAAAAGGCAAGATGGAAGAATGACCCTCACGAGCCACCAAAGTATTGAGTAGAAAAACTAGATCTGGAAGAACCCCACCACGAGGAGGTCAATGAATTAGGAAGGATCTAAGGATGATGAACCATAGACCAAAAAAGAAGCAACTTTATGTTGGAGTAAAATGGCAAAAGTATCCTGGTGAGGAGTACCCTACTGACTGCATAGCCTCCTGAAAAACTGGAGGTTGAGAAAACCACTTCACAAGATAAACCTGGTCAGATCTGGAAAACAATCCACCACTAGGTGAAAAGCACATGGAACATGACACACAAGATTTATCTGCATTGTTTGGGCCCAATGAAAAAAGTCCAACATTTAATCACAAATGGAACAGAAACGAGTTCCCACATGGTGATTGAAATAAGCAACAATGGTAGAATTGTTGGAATGGAGTAGGACATGTTGTTACTGTACCAGTGGAAGAAAATGAACCAAAGCATGTTGTACTGCCATAAGCTCCAAGATGTTAAAATGGTAGATATAACAACCTGAGACCATTGTCCAGAAGCTGATGGACCAACACTCCCCAACCTTGGAGATAAACATCTGTGATTTGATGCAAATGTGAATGAGGTGAAAGAAGCAGTATTCCCTTCATTGTGCTGTCCTTGTTCAAACACTAATGCAGATAGACTGTAAGGGAAGGAGGAAGGGTAAATGTGGAATCCAAGAGATCCTGAGCAAGATTCCATGGGCTGTGCAGAGATTTATGAAGAGAACACATATGTACCCAACCTAAAGAATAAGGGCTTTTATTGAAACCCAAGTTCTCAAAAGTGACAGAACCTTTTTTGCTGAAATCAAGGAAGTAGTAAATGCATAGAGAAGGATAGGCCCGAGTGATGAAAAAATACACCCAAGTGGATAAAACAGTGGGTAGGTAAAAGGAAACTTCACCAACTTTAGAATCCAACAACACAAGTTGCTACTGTTAGCAGCAGATGTGTGTGTACTGAAAAAGACTCCAGTTTGGAATGAATTAACAAGAACCAGTTGTCAAAGTGATGGTGTAAACACAATCCTAAAGCATGCAGAAATTGGGCCAAAGCCATGACCACCCAATAAATTTTATACAATGCTGAAGTAAGTCCAAAAAACCAAGCATGAAACTGATAATCAACCCTGTAGTGAACAAACAAGGATAGCGTATGGAATGCTGAGAAATATGATTATGGAGATAGGCATTCGAGACATCTATCTTGGTCATCCATAGTTCAGGATAAAATAAACCATTAAGTGTAATACAGGACTTCATGAGAAATCAGGGAAGAACCAGAAATTGGTTGGTGCAGGACAGATGGATCACAGGACAAAAAACCTGGAGTAAAATCCTGGGGAAGGTTAGTTGACAGGTGTGATAGCTCTCTGTGATAGAAGGATCAGCAAAACCTTGGATAGGCTCTGACAGGTAGCTGGAACCCAAGTTGATGGGAAGGAAATTGGTACATGAGACAAAAGTGGAGGTGAAAGGAAAAGGATGAAAAATCCATTTGACAAAACTTGGATGGCCCAGGAAACAGTAGTGCCCCCAGCAGGCAAGAAACCACCTGAAAGTTACTGGAATGGTTGGCAATAAAGAACCTGACTTCGAGACACACAGCAAAATTTTGAACCCCTAGTGATAGGAACTGGTAGAGAACAGGAGGTTGCAGGACGAGAAACAGTTATGGGAGAGGTCATGGTATTAGAATGAGGAAAATGAGTAATGAAAGACTAAAGGGTTGAATGTGGACTCACAGAGTCCACACATGGTTATAAAGACTATGGAAAAATCAACAAAAACAAACTGATGGAAAAAAAGAGCCATCCGGAAGTCACAAAGATACGGGAAAGGTAGATGAACCTGTAAAAAGACATCTTTCCAATACAATCCAAACAGCAACAAAACCATGTGTGAAGGGATAGGGCTGAATAGGACAATGGTGCCAAGGAGGAGGAAGGATGGAAAATGTATACCCCAAACAACTCTCTGGGGGATCGGTGAACTGCCTCAGAAAGGAGGTTATGTTGGACAAGTACTGCAGGAGAGCTGTAAGGGTAAGACAAAGGTGGGAAAATGAACATGGAAGAAATGGATAGGTTTATCAGGGACACAGGGAAATATGAAAAAAAAAGGACCCTAATGACAGGTGTTACATAAAAAGGAAAGAACAGTATCATAGGAAAATGGAACACATCTGAGCGAGCATATCGGAAAATGCAGAGTTAGGTCTAGTAAATCTCATAAGAGATGTATAGGAAAACATGGCAAAGTTATGAGAAAGGAAAAGAACTGTCAAAATCCTCCGCATCATGAACAGGTTCAGAAAATGCAGGAGGAACTCAAACACTGACAGGAGAAAAAGGACATCTCATATAACAATCAATCAATCTGACAAATAACTGAAAAATTCTCAATTAAACAATCAAGATTCCCTTCCTCAGACCTGACGCCAGTAATGGTACTCAAAGAAGCAGTAATAATATCAGAATTTGTAGAGCAAACTTTGGAATTCACCATAAACCATGAAGAAGTTGAAAATGAGAAAAAAATAAATAAATCAATGAACAAAGGTATGTTATCACGGCAAACTATTACAGAAAAAAACTAACTGTAGCAAATGAATAAATCAAGTAAATCACCATGCAAAAAAAGAAAGAAATGAAGACATGAAATGAGCATAATTGAAAAACATCTGCACTCAATCACTGCCTAACAAGAAGTGATAGTTCGGTAGAATTGAATAGAAGGAGTCACATGCATCAGGAGGGTGTGTTGCACTCCTATTGGTGGAGGGTTGTTGCATGATGATTTACGTGCTAGATGCAGTTGAACCACGTTGATCATGGGGTATGTGGGAGTTCAAGACTTGTGGCATGCAAAAAAAAATTGCATATAGAAGGCAGCACTGAATGAGAATAGCTAATGTACCATATTGGACCTTTACAAAACACATGCATTCTTAAGGATTTCTATTTAATTGATATAATTTGGGATAATTAAAATGCCAACTAAAACAGCTACTGCTGAAGTAGAATCTTTCCTTTTTCCACAGAGAGATAAATGGGATAAATTAAATGGCTATAGGCACATAAATAAAAGCTATTTTTTCAAAGAATCTGACTGTTAAATCATTTCTGTACATCCACTTTGCATTATCTTCTATATTATTGTGGTTCTGTCTGTTAAAAATAAAAGACAAATACCCAATTTTTCGATCATTCAATGAAAGGAAGTGAAACTGAGAAAAATATTTCAATAATTTTTTTATCAACTCATCTCACTATCCCTCTTTCAAAAATCAAACATCCATTATGTCATCTTAGTTTTCACTATATTGTGAGAAGTTAATAGAATCCTAGTTTGAGATCTACAAGTTCATATCAACAACACCATCTGTGGGGCAAGAACAATCTCACACTTTTATCAAAATTGGCTTATATACGGTCTGTGGAACACCAAAAATCTCACACTTTCATCAAAATTAACTCCTACACTACCTGTCCAACATAAACCTTCTCACATTTTCATTAAGATTAATTCCTACACTGTCTATGCAACATCAACAATCTCACAATTTCATCAAAATTAACTCCTATACTGTCTGTAGAACATCAACAAACTGACACTGTCATCATTAGACACATAAACACTGTCTGTGCAACACCTAAAAACAGTGCATGCAAATCATCATTAGTAAGGTTTATCATATTTCTGTGATTAAATATCAAGCTTATTACATAATTAAAGTGTTCAAGTAACCATATGCAAACATAACTAAAACTAATTTTTAGAACTAAATTGTTCATAATAAATTTCTCCAGAAGACCCCATGGTGACTTTGATGGTTAGAAATTGGAAATCTGAAATGATTTGAAAAATAAGTATGAGGATATGTAGATTAAACTTAAAAATTTGACAAAAAATTTATTCTACATACCTTACATTTTGCAGCCTGACTTTGTCTAATAGTAACAAAATGGTCATGGCAGTAATGAGGAGTTAAAATCTGGGTGAGTAACTCTCGACAGCGTATAATCTCCATTTTCTCAACCTACAAATAACACGTACTATTTGTTTACAGAGGAAAAATACACCATGAGCAATTAAAATGATTTTTAAATTAAAACACACATATACAAGAACAGTAAAATAATTTTAAAAAATTTATTGTATTATTTTGAGTGTTAATGTTTCTAAGGCATTAATTTTACTTATTTGTATTGCTTGTAGAATGCCATTAAGTCACACAACAGTTGTATTGTATTTTTTAAGAAAAGCCACATTGGGCTATCTGCTTTGTCCATCACGCAGAATCAAATCCCAGATTAATGTTGTAAGTCCATATACTTGCCACTGCCCTACTGGAGGACACATAAAACAAAGGATTCAACCAGTAATATAAACACATGTAACTTTATCAACTATATGTAACACTATAAAGCAGCCTATATTGTTATTTGAGATTATCAGTCAGATTATCATTAGCGAGTCTGTTAAAATTTGTTACAGCCATTGTAATGTCTTTCTTTAGATGGCACAACTAACAATGTAAAATTATGGTCTACAGATACAGCATATGGCTTGGAGATAGATTGACTGTGCTATCAATTAGTGCAAAGTCCACATGCATGTTCCAGTGTTTGACTTGATTAAATGTTTAGTGAGGAAAGACAGCTTCACAGCATTTTCATAGTAGTATGGATGGTTTGCTGATGTTCTAATGACTGCCAGTAGTTTATCAAATTATTAAAACTGCTAGTAGGCCTATGTTATTTTTTCAAAAAAGTTAATGATAATTTAAATGAGAGAGCTATAATGCTTTAACTCTCTCACTATGGATAAATAAAAGTGTTCATGTTATAAGGTTTCTATAGTTACTTTCAAAATTTAGTTAAACTTGGCATCAAAACATAGTTAATAAATCAAGTTTTAATATTATATACATTTTAACTTCAAAAGGAAATGTATAAATAAATTCTCCATCTTTGCTTGTCTGTGTAATATGATATTTGTTAGCTCCAACTTGCCCATTTTGTAATTTTTCATTACTCCTTTACAATTTCCAGAGTTTAACATAAGTTACTTATTATAGCTTAACTTTTATAACCATATTTCTATTGTTTAGGGAGACATAAACCAGAAAGTCAAACCCACTTTCCACAACTTCCTATCATAGCTTCTCTTCCATAAGTTGTCAATAATTCTCTCCAATATTCATTATTACATCATTTATAACCAACAGAAACAGTTTTAATTCAATGAATGACACATAATGTTATATTCTTCTCAGTAGAGAAGTTTAGTTATTTTTCCTTCAGATTCAAAGTTTCTCTTACCAAGTTCAGGTCGAACAGTTAAGAGAATTATGCCCCAGAAAGCCAGTTAAATTATAACAGTTATAAGACATTGTGACTTTGTGTGTGTTATTATTTTGTGTTCTTACATGCATATCTAAAATAAATAAAAATTATTTTAGTTACCACTAAGATCTTCACCAGGAATTAGGTTTAACTTTCAATAGAGAATCAAGAGCAAAAAAACAAGAAACCAAATACGGGTACTAAATTTCTAGTTTATGTCTATTTTTTACTTTTGTTATAAAAATAACTAAAATGTAAAAATTAAAAACTTATTACATTATATTAACCCTATTAGACCCAGCTCCCAGGATTCTTGGCAGCTAACATTGATCTCATAGTATTTCATTCCAAAAATGAAACTAGTGGATAAAAATGTTTAAAATTTCACAAAAATCTTCCTAAAGATTTGTAGTTTCAGAACAATCAAATATCTTATTTTTTCTACTATTTCTAATAAAAAAATTCATTATTTAATGTAGTTATTTGCACACAGACTCTGAATAGTTCACCTGCAAGGTGATTTTTATATGAAGTATAAAAATATTATTCATTATCTTACAGTTTCACATTTCATTTGTATATTCTATAGAGCTTCTTAAATGAATATCAAAAGTTTTTAAGGTAAATGTTTATATCTTATTTTCCATTTTCCCTACTATATCACTAACTGTACCTATTATCATCAACATATACCTGATGATGACAAAACCTTGTCGAAACGTTGTACATTTGCTGTCATGTTAAACTTATATTAAAGTTTTTCTTCATTACCCATTTAAGCCGTCTCCAGCCATTATTAGAATTATTGGTTATTTGCCATCAAATTACATGAATATATGCTAATTAATTAAACTAAACAAGATTTGCTGCTTTATAGTGCATTATGCCTATAACAATCAGCATCTTTCTAGTTGTTGATACTTACCTCTGCAAATGTCTGCAGGGCAACTGTTATAGCAAACCAGTCTGGTAAAGAACCCTCTAATTCCAGGCTGATCAATGACAGAGCTACAGTGGAAGCTTTAAACTGAAGGATTCGGTGGTTGGCAAGACAAACCTGAAGTTTTCTGGTCAGCAAACAGAGTAACCCTCCAGAACCAGTGGCATACTGACCAATTAGCAGACCTGGACACATAAACATCAGAAAAGCATGGAACTAGAAATAAAAGGTATAAACAAATTAATGACCTTTACTTCTGTATGCATTTGAATTTTCACAACATATGCTGAACAACTTCATGCTCTAATGCCAGTGTTATTCTTGTATTTCTATCTTAAGATTATACAAAAATGCAAAAGAAATTACATACTTGTATTAACTATCCTGTATTTATTATCATTACCATTGGTTAATCAATAAATCAAAATTATGATTAAATGATTTAAGAGTCTTGGGTTCGATTCCCATTGCCTCCAAACTTGTCACGTCTTTGTTATGGCAAAGCTAATACAGCTATCTGCCACCATTACCGATTTTGAACTGCTGTTTAGATGAAGCAATTGAACCACCTTTTTTTTTCTTTATCTTACTGAACTACTGATTTGGAGGAAGGTAACTGGCTAGCAGCATCCAACACAAATATTTTTGTTTTTGCTTGTACCTACCATGTACTAATCAAGCTTGGAGAAGGCATGAATGGGTAGTAAAAAACTTTATTACAAATGAACGATGTTTTGTAAAGCTTATGTCATCATTAGGTAAAAGAGTTTACATAGACACAGGAATACATACACAGTATGGAACAGAGAGACTGACCAGAGATTGCTTAACAGCTTAGTAAAGGTATCTTGATTTCTCTTTATTTTACATTTGATGATGTTTGGTTTTTTCCTTTAAAATTAGTGTTTTGTATAGATATATTGGCCTTTTTTTTTGAGTTGCAATGATGGTAAATATGGGAGAGTTTTTTTTTTTTTTTTTAATTATTATTATTATTATGTTTCATGAATTTGATTTATAATTTTCTTCCAGTTTCTCTGATGTAAAATTCTGGACAGTTACTGCGTGTTATTTTATAAACATTGTTGGTATTGTGTGATTCTACATAATTTTTATTTAGTAAGGACTTTAGTTTAGGGCTGGGCTTTTGATGAATTTGAAGTCAATATGAATTTTATGCTTAACTCTTCTACCCTGGGTACCCCTTTAAACACTTTTCTATGCAAGTCACCGAGTTATATTCAAAACTAAATCAAACACTTTTACTGTCAATGTATGTGAATGAAATTAATATTATAATGTATTTTATGATTAAAAGTTTTATGTTATACAAGTTTGAATTCCTTTATTTCAAAAGAAACCTTTAAAAACAGTTAAAATTAAGGTTTTTTGTCATAGGACCCATGAGCTATGAAAAATATCAATATGTTTAAGATAAAGCCAGTCATGTAGATGTACATCTAGACAATAAGTATGTTTACTTGCCCTACTGACATGCAAGTTTCAAAGTGCTCTGTGGCTTAATGCAGTAGAAACAAGTAATAAATTTTGTCAACCCTTGATGGGTGTCACACCCACCTTCTATACTTCATGTAGTTGCTACATATACATGTATATAGTCATTTGAACAAGTTCATTTTACACTATAATCCAACAACTGCCTGTAGTAATGTTAGCTGCTTTACCCACAATAGCACTTACAGTTAAATTGTATGTAGGTGTCACTTTTATATTTTAATTAATTATGTATTATTTATGTTTTAAAATGCATAATTGAAAAGTTTAAACATTTTTTACATTTATCTCAAACATTGCCGAATGCCTGTGCATTGCTGCTGAGGATACTCTAATTATACCCTGAGGGCACCACTGACTTGTGCCAAGAGGAATAAAAGGTAAAGGAGAGGAAAGGAGGGGAAAACTATGTGAAATGGAAGAGACCTGAAATTACAAGTATAACCAAAAGATCTTTTAAGGTATTCTACAAAAAATTAAAAGGTATGTACATTTTTCCTATTTCTTAATTTTAAACATTCCATTCCACTATATGTTGATGATAATACGAACAGTTAGTGATATGGTATAGAAAATGAAAAATAAAATATAAATATTTTTACTTAAAACACTTTTCATATTCATTTAGGAGGTTCTAGGGTTTATGCAAATAACACTCAATAAGATGAACAAAAGTATTTTTATACTTGAACTGAAAATCACCTTGCACACAAACTATTAAAAGTTTGAGTGCAAATAACTATAATAGATAAATAACATATCTTTAGTAGAAATACTTAATTAAAATAATGCCATTCTTCCTGTACAAAATACTTATAATCTTTAACAAAATCCTAACATTTTTTGTGAGGATATGCTAAGAAACATCAGAGTTACAGTATGTACTGTTGCACTTGTATCATTCCCCAGATGGGATCATGTATTGTACACGACCCCATTGAGAAAGAGTTAAAGGCAAGTTTTCTTCAAGTGTGAATTATTTTTGCAATGACTTCATGGAAAAATGGTGTAATGCTGTGTTGTTGTTTGTTATATTAGGGTCAATTTTGTTAGTGAGTTGAGTCTAATACCAACAAATGTAAAATAAAGAAAGATAACTGAACAAAACAGCTACACTTTAAACCAACACCTCAGGGTATTAAGATACCTTTACTAAACTGTTAAGCAATCTCCAGTCATGTGACTTTTTGTTCCATGCTATATATTCCTGTGTCTATGTAAACTACTTATATCTGATGATAACATAAGCTTGTCAAAAGATTGTACATTCTAATAAAGTTTCTTTCACTACCTATACAAGCCATCTCCAAGCTTTATCTTCTAAAATAAAGTGGGTCTCTCATCATTAAAGTTAAATTGTACTATTCAATTAATTATATGTAATCTATAATTGTGACCATCAACTAATTGATTAGCAAGTACCACTCTCTCCAAGAAAACCAACCTTTCAAAAATGTCACAAAATCCCATGGAATTATTGTTAAAAAAATCCTATGAAACAATCCTTTAAGTCACAAAAAAACCATGAAAATCAATCCTTCCAAAAAATAGCTCAAACCCTCCTGAAAACAATCCTTCCAAAAATGTCTAGAAAACCAAACATAAAAACTATCCTTTCAAAAGTGTCAAATGCCATGAAATCAATCCTTACAAAAATGTCACAAACCCCTTGAAAATAATCACTCCAAAAAATGTCATGTGGCATCCATGAAAACACAAAACCTGACTGACAAACAAGAATCCTTCAAAAAATATCACATAGCCCCTATGAAAATAATCATTAGAAAAGTATCACAGAATATCCACGAAAACAGACCTTCATAAAATTTCATAAACCCTGAATGAAAACAATTTTTCAAAAAATGTAAAAAAAAACATGAAACAATCTTTCCAAATATATCACAAAACCTGAATGAAAAGTCATTAAAAAAGTGTAAAGAAAACCCACAAAAACAATCCTTAAAAAAAACCACAAAAACTTCAAGAAAAACAATTCTTAGAAAAGCACAGCAAAACCATCATGAAAATAAACCATAGAAAAATGTCACAAAAACCCCATGAAAATTGTCCTTCCAAACATGTAAAAAAAAAAAATCTTACAAAAAGTACAAACCCTCTTGAAACAATCTTTCCTAGTCAAACTTAGTAACGGTCAATATCAAACTGTCTTTGTTAACCTGAAGATGACTTAAGAAGGTCAATATTGTTCTAACAGTGAACAGTTTTTGTATTCAAACCTCTGACTAACTGTTTACAGGTTTCCTAGCCAAAATCTTGCTTTAAAATATATCTAGTATTTTATTAAGTTTAACATTTCAAGTGTTTTTTGCATTTTACAGTAGTAGCTCTGCTTACTCACCACTTGCAAAAAATCCAGGGCTGTGACTTTCTTTAAATCCCAAAGTAGCTTACTAACTATGATCCTCTCCATTCTGACAAGATCCGCTACTTTGATGCCACAACGACTGACTTCAATGAGGTCTTCTGCCATAAGCACTACCTATAAATCATCAATCTAAGTCAATTTAAAACACAAGGAGTGAGGTTTATATTTTACTTCCTGCTTTACATTCTCATTAGGTGTTATTAGTACAATTTCTCTCTAGAGGGGTAAGCACAATGGATATCATGAATCACAGACTGCTATCCTATGTAGCATATGTGGTTTTTGCAGTCCACATATGTATAATATTATGAATGATTATCACTAAGCACGGTAATGCTTAGTATGTAAGAATGGATCAAAATTGAACCAACATAAAGGAACACCTTTATACCTATATTAATCACCTAACATCTAACTGCTACACCCCCTATAATCTCGTCTTTAAGACATGTGCTTAGTAACGGTCAATATCAAACTGTCTTTGTTAACCTGAAGATGACTTAAGAAGGTCAAAATGTTGTTCTTGTACTTTATTTTAATTAAAGTTTTTAATATCCATACCAGCTGTCTCTGGTATACATTTTTACTTCATTAATGTTGTATTTCTACTGATTAAAAAATACTTGATCTAACCAATTGTTAAATACAATGAATTAGATACTTATTACCAAATAAGATAACAGTGTGACTGACCAAGATTATGTTAAAAGATACTGGGACAACTAAGCAGCATTTTTTGTGTGCACATGCAGGTTCTGTAATGATAACAATAATAATAAAAAGAGAGGAGAGTCCATAATTCCCTGAATTTTCCAGATTTATAGCCACCCCAAGTTCATGATCAAGACATTTGTAAAGTCACAATTCTGACAGTTATTTTGTTATAAGTTGTACTGGATAAGTTTTGTGGCTTTTACATACAGAATCCCAAGTTATACCAAATGCTGAAAAATGGCACATATCCCAACACTGTGTTTACTTGCCTTTCTGTAGGAAAAATTGACTTTGCTAGCTCATATACATCAATGTTACAGTTACTAGGTTTACAAAAATATAATGACTATCAAACAGTTATTCATAGTTTGTATTAGACTTTGGAAGATATTTTTCTGATAATCATGAAACTATAGACTGAAATAGAAAAAAAATTAAGCCATAGTAATATACTTATTCTACAGAAAATGAAAAACTAAAATATTTAAAAAGGGGGCAACAATATTTGAATTGCATAAAGTATACTTCACAATGTCGAATATTACATAAAAACAATAATCAGTGAATTAAACACTATATACATATTGTTTGCTACATCAAAGTCAACATCTAACAAAGAAATGGACACAACAATAATACAACTAAAAGTGTTTATTATGCTGAACAAGTACCTCTTATTTATTATTAAAACAGATAAATCTTCAATAGTTTTCTTGATAAAGATTTTGGAGAAAATACAGTTTCAGGTGCTCTTCAACAAGCCAAGAATTATGGTAGGTATACCTCCATTAAAAGGTTATAAATTAATGAAAAAGACTTTTGAATGAATCATAATCTCAGGTATTTATCAACAAAACTAGGTTTACCTCATCTTCTTCACAAATTTTCATGGCAAGAAACAAGCAAGAAATGGCTATGCACTTCAGGTATTTTGGCTTGACCTACATTTTAATAAAAAAAAAATAGGATAATTTTTTACCCATGCTTGTAGTGACTTCTCGAACAAAATGAGAAAAGAAGCTCAACTATTTTTTCATTTAGTTTATTTACTATTTGCAAGCAACTTTAATTTTTGGTGACAATAGGAAAACAGTTTATTTTATTATTTTGTGAAACATTTTTACACTATTCTTTTTTTATAACAATCTATTACTACTGCTTTAAAATATATGGAGACCTAAAAATATGTGCTACTGTTTTAATAGTTTCTGTTGTTGAACAGGTTCATCTGAATTATTTGGTAAAAACAAGAATGTAAAGTCCAGTTTACTTAACACTCCCCAGATGGGTCATGGGTCAAAGCACTGGTTCAAATTAGATGTTTGTGTTGTCAAAACACTAAGTTTATAGTTTTGTACAAAAAAGGAATTCAAATTACTGATGTTGACAAGCTAGAATATAAAATAAAAGACTGATATCTTTTCTATTTGCTGAGATATCACTCATGTACTGAATCAAACACAGTGGCCCATCTCACCTCTTTCCATTTTTGGAAATGGTTCCTTATATACACTTACTTCAATATATGACATGTGAATAACCAATAGAAAGCTCAGAATGTCCCCCTAGTGGCTTTCTCAATCATTTTTATGTGATAGGACCTCGTCTCATTCTTTCGAACCAGGAATTCAAGGAGGTAGGTTGTGTCTTTAGTTTGGTCGAAAATTTCATATTTTTTTAGACCCAAATACTGCTTAGTTAGTAAGTTTGATAAATTATAATGGAATTATATGGTATTTATATAGTAATTTCTGATTTTTCAGTTTTCAACTGTATGTATAAAACCAAAAACTATTTTGTTTCATATTCACCATGGGCAAAATTTTGAAAGTTTAGCAACCTACATCAAGCAGCAACCGAGTACAAAGGTCATAACTATAAGAGATAATTGTTTGATTTACTGTTCTGTGTTTTATGAAAAATAAGTTTAAGAACTTATTTCTAAACAGTAATAATATAATGTATAATAATGGAAATGTGACTGCATTTTGCAAAATACTAGTCAACTAAAACACAGCCAAGACAGCTCACTTTGTAAAGACTAAAGGTCAGTTTTATATAGTTGGATATGGTAACATGAGAGCACGTGTGCTGCATCACTGTAATTTCTGTATTGTTAGCCAAACACAGCTGAAAGGTCAATATAGTAAAAATAATAAATATATATAAATGTATAATATTATGAGATTTCAGATATTAAGTCTAAACATTTGTTTTTGTGTTATAATTTGTTGTGATTCTAGAACAAAAGAGGCATAATTTATATTTATTTCCTAATTTTTTATGGTGGTTACAAGATTGCTCAAATCTATCGTGTCTGTGCAGAGATTCATTAGTGAAAATAACAGATAAAATCGTTTTTTTTCTTAAGAAACATTTGATAACTATCTGGACATTATGAAGATATCACATGTGAAATTTGAAAATTTTCTGATGCATAAAAGTATTTTTAATCGTAAAATGAATATTAACTTGCATGATAGATAGAGAGGTATAGTATGAAAACTATAACAAGCACAAAATGGTTATAAGATTGATCCCAGAGACCGAGTACATGCTGAGAGAGTTAATGATAATGAAAGCATTTTATTTTTTCAATTACAAGTTTTACAATTTTCTTTTAATATTATTCACTGATAGGTAGAGCTGGACAACTAACTTGATTACTTCTAAACATTTAATATAATAGTTTAATGTCACAAAACTAATCAAAATAACCATTTCAAATTATTACTCTTTTTGATCATTCCCACTAAATGATGTAGTAGCTGCATGTAGACTTGTCCATGATCTTCACAGTCCATTTGGCTGACTGATCTAACAAGCACCAATCACTTCTTTCTTATGTCAAAAACCTGAGAATTTATTGCTATACTTAAGATAATGTAGGACCTTAAAGGGTAGATTCAACTTACTCTTTCATAGATTTTTACAAGATTTACCCAGTTGATTTTAAATACAGCACTTTAAATAAGAAGACTTTCAGTGAATTGTAAGCAGAAGTTTACATAGTTTCACACAGTGTTCTTAAATCGATTTTGTTTTGGATTTAAGTGGGATATTTCAGTAGATTTAGGAGAACTCCTAAAGTTCTTGCTCTCCATTCTAGTCACAGGTTGGTATATTATTTTTGTATAGTTATACTACTGGAGAACTCTGCAGGTTTTCTTGTAATTTTGGAATAAACTTTCATTTTCAAGTGTGCAGGTTCAGTAAGTAGTAGTGTAAGTTTACCTGTGAGTGAACATTATCTTAATGTATGATACAAATTATTACCTTTTTTCTTTACCTATAACTGTTGTGGTGAAATCTGTCTGGAAACTTAGATTTTGAAGGGTTAAAGAGAGGGTTAACTTCATTGTTTTACATTTTAATTTCTTACATTTTTTGGGATTCTCTTTTATATGCTAACCTAAGTTACAGTGGAAAGGACATGCATCAGCAAGAGTATCTTTGTCCAATAAAATCTTTGTCACTCCATCTGGTCACACTCCATCTTCTTTTTTAGATATAACAACACACTATTACATACCCTTATATAATCTATAGTGTTATGTTGAATTGTGTTATAGGGTATTAATATTTGTGCACTAAGTTGTGTAGATTTTTGTTAAACATTTGTACTTTGTGTGCAATCTGTGTCAGTCTCATTCTTTGTGGCCCAACAGTCACACCTGTTAGGAAACACATCAACATGAGGTCAGCAATCCTCCTACTTTTGCAGGCCCTGACTTCTCTGGTTTGTCAGAAATTTTTGAGATACCACATTGTTCTTGTAATCCCAATCTTTCTTCTTCTATCTTCCTTTTTGACCCTATTTTAATTTTCAGTAACTTTCTTCTTTATCTTCTTGTAATATTTTGCAACTGTCATCTTCCTAACCTTTTATTCCATATTTCATCATTTCCATTAGATTGTCAATCTTATTTTGAGACACATGAGCATGTTGTAGTCTAGATTTTGTTTGATTTTATGAAAATAATCCCACTCCTGATACCATTTTTTATGGTTTCTATTGTTGGGTAAGTAAAAAAAGAATAATGTGAACACTAAATTCCTTTATTAGCATAAACTTGACCAATAAGCCTAACATCACAAACATTACATCTAACAGAAACTCCACTTACTTGTTAATTTTGTTCGTATATTTCATAATCAAAACACAAATACAATATTCACAGAAATGAGCCAATGCAATAGCAACAGACAAAAATGACTAATTCATACACTGGTTACTCATTTACTGACTAACAGAATTTAGAAACTCACTATAGCTTAATTCATTTTTTACTTTTTGTTCATGGCTTGAACTTTTTCCTAAACTTTGGAGATTTAAGATTAGGAAAGAACAGGCTAGACTCCAGTTAAAGAGTTTTATTTTCCTAACAAGGCAGTTGGCTTATGGAATGAATTACCATTGGCAGTGGCTCAGCTCTTTACAAGAGTTTAAAAGAGGAATCAACAGTTTTGTGAAAACTAAAGGGCAAGTTTACATTGCAAATTTCTCAAGGGTGAGAATGATTCCTCATTGTCCATTTGTTTTTTAAATAGCTTAATGAAAACAAAGCATTTCTCTATTATTTTGCTCAAGATTCATAGCAGTAATGATGCTAAATTCAAACTTGTGAGCTTTGAATAAAAATTAAAAAAAGACATGTGATTGTAATATTAGTATGATTATCCAAAAAAGGTTTAGAGGAACTCTTGGTAACATCATGAAACTCAAAAGATTAGAAATAACTAGACACTAAAAAATATTTTCTCTCAAGCAGTACACATTATGTAAATTTTATGTGATTATCAACTATTATTTACCAATGAAACAATCAGTGTGATTTATACTACTTGTTCAACAGACATCTTTTGTTTAGCCACAATCACTTTTAGCCTAAATATCACATATCTTGAATAGATTTTCTTGGATATTAGCTAAGTCATAGCAGTAACTAAACATAATTTTTTACATTACCAAAAATTTCACCAATAAACAGTCTAAAATAAAGAATTAATACTAACCTTGACTAACCCAAAAAAGGTATCCAGTATTGCCACACTCAAAAAAAATGTTTCTGGTGTAAGACGAAGTTGATAGTTTAGTTCAGCCAGCCATTGAACAATCCCGTCTCTTTCTTCTGCAGTTACATCCTCACTCTGTATATGAAAAAAGTAAAAATTCCAATCAAAATATGTAGATAATGAATGAAACAACCAAGTTCATAAAATACTGGAAGAACCATGTTCGTTGGGCAATATCTAGACCAGCTGTGTTCACACTAGCTCATGAATATTTAGTACTGAGAACACAATCAGTTGGAAAAAAACTTGATCACATATATTTTAATAAAAAACATAAAACATTAGAATCTTATTACTTATTAACCATACCATAATATTTAAGTCTTTTTTACTTGATTTTTTTTTATGTACATTTTTCCAATCACTCTTATAATGTGTCAACAGCTCCTAAGTGCAGAGTGCAAGTTTTTTTTTTTGATAACTGCACATCAACACTGGACCCACACTCCAGCATGCTAATCACTGGACCACATTATGCTGAAGTGTTTTCTACATTACATTAGTTTTCTTCATGATATTTTCTTTGCTTTTCCCACTAAGTCCTCTTTATAGCATAGTACATTGCATCCAAGTCATATTGCTATGTCGTGAATTCTGTACACAAAATTATTAGCATATAACACAATGGAAAAAAAAAAAATCCGGAAGTTGTCTGTTAACTGAATGTGCAGAAAATCCCTGTATTGGACAAGTCGCTATAATTCTGAATTTATCAAGTGTACAAAACTGTTGTACACAAAAAATTACATGTATTACTAATTTTTTGTACCAAATATTTGTTGATGAAATGATGAAGTCAATATGACTATGACAAATCAGAGTGCAACGTGATCTTCATGTGAAGAACATAAATTATTTTGTCTATCAGTCAGTTTGCACATTATATTTGTATAACCTCTATAGCCTTCTAAATGTACCTATAAAGTTTTTCAGCATTCATATATATTGTATCTACTCTAACCAGTAGCGTGCAGAGAAGGGAGCGAAAGGTGTCGGGGCCGCGGGCATCCAATGCAAAGAGTCCAATCGAATAGGAGAACCCTTTCCGTCCTACCCCAAGGTCTTAGGTACAAGGCCCCGGGCATCAGAGAACCTCTGCATGCCACTGACTCTAATACAAACTGTTGCACCATCAGCAATGTAGGGTAACATTAAATGTTAATAACTCTGACATCAAATGCATAATACCATGTTGAATGGCACTATGTACTAGGTCAGCATGTGCATACTTTAACCTCCACCCATGCACATAGGGTTAAACCATCATTCTTATAGAAGAGTACTTCATATAATGATCTCAATCAAACATTTTGACTTGAATATTTAATGGTGATATCAGTATATTAATTTTTGTTTTTTCACCTTATAAATTTTTGTATTCCTGACATTTTCCAGTTAAAAATCCTTGTTTTAAAAGAAAGTTTTACATTATAGGTTTTGTACAGAAACAATAAACATAAGGTGTTTCCCATGACTTTCACATAAGCACTTCTGCCTTTAGAAAATGATCAACAAATGTCTCGCAAGACATCTCTCATTCCACCCATGGATTACACGCCTTGTCAGTAACTTCAAGTCTCAAATATCAGTATGTGTTTTGGTCTCAAATGTGAGTATTGTAATTACTTTTAAAAATAAATAACTAAACTTTGAAACTTTTTATTAGCTATATTTGTGTGCACCAGCAATACTAAGTGTAGAGTGCATATATACCTGATTCAATTTTATTATTCATCAGTATCTCTATATGCCTTACCCTCAAACTGAAACTTTTGGGTAGGATCAGAATAAATTAATCTACGAGACCTTGGGCACGGTCAAATACAACAATTGAAAGGGTTTGACCTCCCGAGTTGGAAACTGTAATTAGATCTCAAATTGGACAAGAGATGATGGAACTATAAGCTAAAAGTTTGTACTTGAAAAAAACAACAACCCAGAGCCTTTCTATGAACCACAGCTAAAAATGATACACTCATGACCATGGTAAACATTGGTATTACCAACACATAAAGATCAGAATTTTCAACCAATAAGATTACAATTCAAGTGTTCATTGAAGCAGCTTCTACTGTACAATCTTGTATACATCATACACATACTACATATTTTACAATAATGGGAAAAAAACTTGCATCCTATTTGATTAGGGTTAAACTATAAGGCAAAATATCCTACGTTGTTTGAGAAGTCAAAGTCACTGAGAATAAGAGCAG